TTTTTTTTTTTGTTCAAGCAATTAATAAATGTCAATAATATTATTCATCCATAATTTATTATTAACAAAATGTCTGTGAATAAAATGTTGTCTTGGGTGTTGTGCAGTGTACTAAACCAAGTAAACCATGAAATATGAAAATACTAATATTTCAAAATATAATATAATATTGTGATAAGGATGTGATAAGGAAATGGATCATACGAAAAAATTTTCCTGCGAAGAACCGTTCGTGGTATTATTATTATTATGACTTATGTTATCACTATATCTATCTACATATCACATATGTACCGACCCTTCAATAGTGGCGGGATACTTTATGCGTGACCAAGCGGCCAACATTCCTCCATAAGATCCGCCAAATGCGAATACTGGGTTGGGACGTCTGCCAGCACTCAGTGCATCGTCACGTAGATACTTTATCAGGTCTACAAAGTCAGCCATCGCTTGTTGAGAAGTCAGATAGCCCAACTTCTCGTTGTCATCGAAAGAGTGATCTCTATAGGGCATGGACTCGCCATAGTAACGGTGCTCGGCAAACACGACCAATGCCTGGAATTCTCTTGATATTTCCCACATAAAACCCTATTTATTTTTTGTATAGAAAAATTACTATAAACATTTATTTTGTATAAAAAAAAAAAGTGTGTACTGTGACAAACAACCACGACCTTTTGCTTTCCGTTATTATTAGTATTTTCATTTTATTAAATTACAATAAGTGCAAGCATGGATAATGGCCATTCGAGACGATTTACATACTCGGCCTTATTTATTCCACTTAAATAAATAAATAAATCATAAATCATGGAATTGTSCCGGCACGTGTTAGGTTACCTATGGTAACCGATAACATCCAATCGCTTGGTAATGAATATTAAGCAATAGTGAAGTAATTTTATTGTACGCTTATAAAAAAATTGACGTTATTAATATTACAATGCTATTGGAAAAATGGCTCCACGGCAAAGATAAAGCTAAATTGCCTATCCAGCGTACCGTATTACATAACCAAAATTAAAATGCATAGGAAACCGTAAATCATACCCAACAGACATACCAAAAAGAGGTACAAATGCCAAAATTAAAAATTTGATAATACATGAAGACTCAAAAAATCATTCATTATTTATCTTGACTCAATTTTATRACGTTTGAAAATAATTAAACTTGCGAGAAACGAGATGAATGTAAACCAGATTAAAGTATAACTAGTATACGAAATGTATTTTAAACCTAAAATGAAYATGTATCGTTTCATTGGTTAAAATATCAACTTAAAAACTTACAGTATTATCTGCAAAGTTTTCAATTCGTCCTTCATTACCAGTATAAAAAAAATTGG